TATTTGATCACTATTCAACTAATATCATAATAATAAAATTTCGATAAGATCTATTTCTTTCGCATATGTGCTGATAGCATGAATGCTCGTAAGTACTTTTTGAATAACGTTTGATAGCAACGAGATAGAGAACTGCGATTTTCACCATTGCAAAGAGGAGATGAAGGCGCATCGAACTGTAGATTACTGATTTTTCTAATATGATTTCTGAAGTGTTTTTATTCAATTTTCTAACCGTCGGAAAAATGCTTTTTTTATGAAAAAAAGAAAAACAGAAAAGTTGATCGAAAATCGTAGTAGAGGTTCGTCTAGAATACGTATTTTCCCCAAATAATTAAATTTACACCTGAGTCTTTCGCAGTTTGTAGATCTTCGATTATTATTATGATATTAGTTGAATAGTGATCGAATAGCATAGAAAAATAGAGCGAAAGACGCTCTATCTGTTCATAAAAAAGAAAAAATTTTCAAGCTTTCTATAAGAAAAAATAGTACCTTCGTCACTACTTTTGGATAGCCCTAAGTATTTATGCACATATCCTGATCAGGCTATTTTGTATATCCTGACTGGAATTTAAAAAATAGTGCACGGTAGACTTTTGAATTTAGACTAGAGCAACATGGATTCAATTCAGTTTTCCATCCGCTTTCTTATGCTATAGTCACTTTTCTGCAATAACGTCACAATTTTTGCGATAATGATTTTTTCCAAAATGTTTTGCAAAAATATCTCGATCAGGATATAAATTTTCACCGATAACCTGTTCGGAATATAGGGTATATCCCGAACGAGATATCTATCCTCATAAGCATATCGCTCGTGAGACCGGACTGTGTGGTAGAGTTTAGCATTCTATATAGCTTTGTTGCTTGGTTTAGTATCAAAATCGGTTGGTGAAAGACGACAGAAATTTGTCTCTAAAATTAACATATATGTCAGCGGAGTGTCTTTTTGTATCCCAGTACATAGAAATGGAAAAAAAGAAAAATTTTCGAGTACAGTTAGTTGTGTCTTAATTAGCTTAATGAGTTTAAACGATAATGAGTTCAAAAAAATATGGTAGAGACACACTATGAAAAATAGTTTAGCTCATTTCTGCGCGAAATGTGCCTCTAAAACGATTTCGATAATGATCTCTTCGAGTATTAGTGTCTAAAACTAAGAAAACTCATTTTCTTCTTCGTTTAAATAAAATACTCATATTTCGTTAGTGATTTCTATATTAGCTATTAAAATGAGAAGAAAAGTACGTATTTTTCTATTAAAAATGAAGCATATTGTGTGTCAACTATAAAATGTTTTCCATCTTTTATTTTTCAGGGACAATTCTATTCTTCTTTGATAAAAACCACCTTCGACAAACAGAGCAAAACGTTCAATTTTTTTCAAAAAATAAATCTAAAAAGCTGTTTAAATATTGCGAGAAGAGGAAGAGTAGAGAAAAGAAAAAAAAAGAATAATTCAGGAAACACTTACGGTTCTCATCGAACGATAGATGAAAAGTGATCTTTTTTCCTTCGATTCTTCCTGCATTTCAAAATAGATTGTGCTAGAAATCTGTGCATTAATTTTATTCAGCAATATAACCGAATTCTAAAAGCGATTTCAAACGTAACAAAAAGTAGATTTTCGACGTATGGGTAATGCAGGTAGTGAAGTCGCATCAGGTGTAAAAGCACAAATACAAAGTGGCGGTCAAGCACCTGAACTTTATCGATTAGTTGATTTAAAGGTATTTTCAAAAAAAGTGAAGAAATTAAGCGTAGAAAATTACTATGTTTAGCTTTATTATATTTTTTTATATCTAATCGGAATGTTTGTTAGAGAGAAGAAATAATATGTTTTAAATATTGCTTGTTCTCCTACTAGGGTGGTGGTGAGTTAGTTGATGTTATGCGTATTGCAAATCGAACAAAAGACTATACACAAATTGATACGATAATTCGAGAAGACGTATCAAAATTTCTTTACAATGATGGAAAAGGAAAACGTGTAAGTTGATTTTCACTTTTAGTTTGTCAACACCATTGTCTATATCGACAAACTACAGGTACCGTTAAGTGAACTAATCAGAAGAAGAAATCGTACATATAACAAGTTGAAATCGATCGTAACAGCGAAGCCGCTGGATGAGGAACAAATGAATGGTAACATACCTAAATCGAAAGTGTCTATGATTATGATTGGAAATATTATTTTTCTTTTTAGGTGAATTAACAAAACGTGCTTGCTGGGACTTAGATAAACGTGGTGGTGTGGGCGAGACCATTCTTCATGTATGTTTTTTGAATTCAACAACTGTTCACTCAGCATTAGCGAAAAGATTGATTCGTCATTTTCCTAATCTTATAAATGATATCTATGTTGATGATGAGTACTACGGTAAGAAATAGACGCTGATTATGAGTTTAAATGCGAGCATATGTTTTTTATTATGAGTTTTTTAGGCGAAAACGTTCTTCATATAGCTATTGTCAATGAAGAACCGGCGACTGTCAAATTTTTACTCGACAATGGCGTTGATTTTACTCAACGATGTTGTGGTGTATTTTTTTGTCCTGAAGATCAATTGAATAGTCGGGTAGATAATTTTACTAAAGAATGTCCAGATGTTAGTATAGCGACAAATTATCAAGGGTATATGAGAATTGAACAACAGTATTCATAATTTTTCGTAAGACAAATCTGTGTTTAGATACTGTTATTTTGGTGAATATCCATTATCATTTGCAGCCGTTTTACAACAAGAAGAATCTGTCCGTTTATTAGTGGCAAAAGGTGCTGATCCCAATTGTCAAGATTCAAATGGAAACACAGCATTACACATGTGTGTTATTCACAATAAACTGGTATGTAGAAGTGTGGATTTACCAAAAGTGAGCGTATTTACCAGCTTTTTTCGTATTTTTATATTTTAGGCCATGTTTGATTTACTTTTTGAACTTGGTGCATCATTTGGTATAAAAAATCGTCAGGGTTTAACACCTCTAACCTTAGCAGCTGTTTTAGCACGTAAAGATGTACGCTCCAGTATGCTATGATTTCTTAAAATAATATGTTCTTTTTCTCTTTCAAGCTATTTGATCATATTTTACAGACGACACGTGATATTTACTGGCAGTATGGCAATATCACTTGTGCCGGTTACCCATTAGAAGATATTGATACAATTGGAAAAGACGGATCAATGAACGATACGAGTGCACTAAATATTATCGTCAGAGGAGTAAGTAATGGATTCTTCGTAAGAAATTACATTTTAGGTGCTCTATTGTTTCCTCTCTATTGCTTCGAGCTAATCTTTTTCTAAAAAGGTTTATAAATCAGATATCTACATCTGATGTTTTACTACGATATCTAGACAAAACTTACTGAACACCTCTAAAACGATTGATCTTTTCCATTGAATTTAAATATTTTCTATCGAATAAGCATAAAAGTATCAAGATGATCTAGGATAAATCTACTGATGCTGTCAAGTGTGCTGTCTACTCATGAATAGCAAATTTCTTTTGAACCTAGTTGTTACAACAAAACTAGCGAAAGTTTCGTCTTCTCATGAAAGATATTGAAAGAAAAATGGTTACTTAATTTTTTATGTTGTAAGATAACAACTATTTTCTCCATTTAAAATTTTAAAAATATTCGAACCCAAAAGATATACGTTTGGAAGAGATATAAGAGTTTTACGCAATGAAGTAAAACTGCAATGAAAAAGCGATTATTTTTTGCAAAAAGAATAATAAGAGATTAAGTGTAAGTTATTGGCCATGTAAAATATTATTTCGAAAGTATTTTTTTGTATGTAAGATTCGTGCAGAGTTAGTGCATATTATATTCATCCAAATTGTTCATTTCAGGAAACAGCTGGTCATCTCGATATGATGGATGGTCTCATTGTTCAACTGCTTGTGGAAAAATGGATGACATTCATTAAATTCAAGTAAGACATGTTGATTGAAGAGTAAATATTGATAAAATGTGATAGTGGACTTATCAACAACTCATATTATTCATGATGTATTCACTATTTATTATCTAGATTTTTTCAACGTATGGCTATATTTTCATTATATTTTGCCATTTGTGCAATTGCAATGCTTATTCGTGGTATTTATCAAGTTCCATCTAATTGTATCAAGCATGAATTAATTGATAAGCAAGACACTGATGTTAAAGCACTAATAATACAAAATCTATCATGTCGATGCCATTATGTCAGTTTTCTATTTAAAGAAAAAAGCAGTTCGAGGATTAGCATTGAAACTATGAACTCTAATACTAGACTGGATGTCGAACAGATAAGCGTCTTCAACAATTCTACCGATCCTGATGATAATAATATTGATGAAAATAAAAATAATCCACTGGTTTACGTACGTATATTTTCATTCGTTTTTAGTTAAAAGTATTTTATGTAAAAAGATCGCATGCAATGTCTAATGTAGAAATTTAATGCCAATGGCCTAAACAAAGTCTAAAGATCGATACTTCCATTAAAGTTTGTTTCTTATTTTACTGTATAGGCGCTAACATTATTTGATTCATTATCGATTGCTGGTGCAGTTGCTTATATTCTATTTACTGTTCGTGAACTGAGTTATCAATATTTTAAGTTAGCTTCATTTGTTTACGTGAACGATCCCACTCGTGTTCTATTTTTATTTTCATGTTTATTAACTATCGCCCTTATTCCAGCAAGATTAACATGTTCATATGATGTCGATGATATTCTATGTGTGTTTGCTATGTTAGCACGAGCTCCATACTTTTTCTTCTTTTGCAGGTATGTTGTATAGGAAAAGTGGTTTTTGTAGTTTAGATTAACGTTACTTCTAGAGGATTTCGATCCACTGGTCCATTTGTGGTGATGATCTATACCATGATTCGTGGTGATTTATTACGTTTTTTTCTTATATTTGTGGTTTTTATGACTGGTTTTTCTCAAGGTATGTTAAAACAAGGTAAGTTATGTAATCATTTTTCTAATTATTTTTTCTGTTTTTAGCTCTACATATCTTATTTGTTCGTATCGAATGTGATAATGATTTTGAAACAAATATTGGAACTTTTTTTCGAATGTTTTGTGTTACATTACAACAAGTATCGGATGCTTATAAAAATTTTGCCAAACATCCGAATGTAGGAATTCAAGTGATTGCAAAAGTACGTTGACGTTTCAAGCAATTATGTCAATTGAAGATTGTATGTTTTTGTCTAGATCATATTTGTTACCTATATCATAACAGCAGCTGTTTTACTCGTGAACATGTTGATTGCCATGATGGGTAACACATATGCCATGGTTAACGAAAGAAAGAAAGAATGGCTCAGACAAGTGAGTTTTTCTTACTTGTACTATTAAATATCAACAGTTCTTTTTTCGATTATTAGTGGGCCAAAATAATGCTTATTGTTGAGCAAGGTGTATCACGCGAAGAGCGCCTTTTACAACAATCAAAGTATGCGAAGAAAATGGCTAATGGTGGAAATGTGCTCGTGATACGCTTGGAACAAACAGTAGGTTACACGTTCACTATGGGAACGACGTTTATCATTTCTAGCTGAAATAAGGTGGCTTATAAAAAAAAATTTGCGATAGAGTTCTTTTCTCTCCGATCAGATCTTTCATGGAAGGTCGACAACAGGCGAAGAGCATACTGCATAAACTCGTTTGGTTTAGTAGATTCTCTTTTGAGTATCGATTCAAATTATCATCTAAGTCCGATACGATGCTTTTTCTTTTCAGCCTGACGAGCGTGAATCAGTCAAAAGTATGCATACAGCCTATTTTGATCAAATTAAAAAACAATTGGAACCAGAAAAGGTCTCAATTCAGTCAAAAACAAAGTATCAGACAGGAATTTTTAAAGATCAACAACGGCCGCCATTATTCAATAAAAATAAAATTGACCAATTTCGACAAAAACCTTTTGGATTACGTTCATTTGACGAAATTTGATTTTCTATTGTGTTTTAATGATGCTAATCATTTTAAGTGATTTATTTTTGGATGCCTATAGTATTTTTTTAGATGGTTTTCATTTGTCAAATAATAAAGATGAAAATTTATCTTATTTCTTTTTCTTGATAGAACAATGAACCAGAAAGGTGAGTGATGTAGTGGCGATTCTGTTGAGTTCATGTCAGAGACCGAAATGGATCAAGTCGAGTCCGATCGTATCGGGTCGGGTTCGGGTCAACGTAAAAAATACTGATTCGGGTCGGGTCGAATGGAAAAATTTTTCGGATTTAATTCGGACCTTGCCAACAGAAAACAAATCAGGAGAGGGTTCTTTGATTACGGTTCACTCATCTGTTTTCAAACATGTGTCTTTTTTTATTGAAAAAAGAAGCACAATGTCTTTTTCCTTCCTGCTATGACGCTGTGTAATGTACAGTCTCGTACTGTTGAAGCAAGGAAAGAAAAAAGAGAAACATAAGTAAATTCAAAAAAACATTTTTATTAAAAACCAAGGTGATATTTAGCATCAGCGCAGCAAACTGTGTCGAATAGTATGTAATTCAAAATTATTTCTAGAAAAATTAAATTAAAATTCCTATGGCTTCTACAAAAAAAAGTTTTCTGTAGTTTTCTCTTTATATAGTTCATCATTCTGTCGAAAAATATGGTCTGCAATGACCTTAAACTAGGGAAAGGAGTAACGGTTACTTAGTATCGTTAACGGTTAGTCCAGAGAATTTTTAATGATCATCTCCCTCTGTCTCATATTTTTGAGTAGCCACTAATTTCGTTCTACAGAGGGCACACTTCCGTTTTGTTACGATTTTTTTAACAGTACGATGATGAATTATTTTACTCAACTATTGATTCACATTCATGCACTCAATACCAATTCCATTTTTTGCTTTCATTACTCTACCTATTGAAGTAACTCTTCTCTAAAAGAACAATCGGCGCACATAGCTTTTCTTTTCACTCTTATTCTGACATACACATGAGGTTTTCGTTAATTAAATATTATTTTAAAAGGATCTTAAAAACCGTTAGGATTTTAGAACTCTTCGAAACTTAACGAGATATATTATTGATCACAGACAAAACATAAATAAACGAAAAGTCTGCATGTATACAGCATTTCTTTGGACTTGGTTAGGATTTCCGATTAGGGTGAAGAATCGGGAAACTTCCTCACCATAAATTCAGACGCTCTCCACCAGATTTTTTTTTGAATTTTTGACCTAGCAAAAATATAGCAAGACAAGTGTAGAAACGAGAAAATGCATTCATATCGTAATGTGTTTCGTTGAAAAAATTAATTTTGATATGGAGTAACAAATGTTTCACTTGCTTATAAAAATTGTTGTTCATCGACTTTTTAAAATGTCTGTCTGCCAGAAAAATTTCCCCATCCTAGTTAAAAACAACCGGAAATCTTGAACTTGATTCTAAAATCAAGAGCTGGAAGTGGAAAAAAATAGAGTCTGGAGAATCTAAACAAAGAGCTTTACAATGTTTTCAAATCGACTATTAAAAAAAGTTAATTTATAGAAACTTCATTTCTCAGTTTTGGAACCCCATTGTATAACTTGATCAAGATACCATATTGTTAGAAAAACCAAGACGGAGGAGTCGAGAATTTTTCTGATCGAATAAATGAAATTAGTATATCAGAAAACTTACAGAAAATAAATTCCAAAGCTTTTTGAAACTTTTTCATTGACTAAGTTTTACAGAAAACCTAGATCTTTGGAAAATCAGAAAGAAAGCATCTGGAAACGATCAGAAAGATCATATCAGAAATTTAGAACAAGTGTTTTTTCGAAACTTCCCAAATGTTTTTTTAAGAAAGTATAGCACATGTCAGTATCATAAGGTAAAGTCTACTGTGACACTATCGAAAACCGAACAGAAATTCTGTAAAACTATCAGAACGAAGCGGTAGATTTATTCACAAGTTTTACAAAGTTGCTAATTTTTTTCAATTTTAACCGATCAAAACTAAGTTTTAGGGATTTTCAGAGTCAAAGTGTTGTTAATTCCATCTATGATGACTCTCAGTTAAAGAGAATTTCGGTTTATAGTCAAGTTTAAAAAGTGATTTTTTTTCTGCTATTATCATTTTTTTCTTTTGTTTTCTCTGCTTGAACTGATTACTTTAGCTTTCTTTTCATTCTGTTTATGTTTTAGATCAACACAATGTCATCTATCTCAACCGAGCTTCCATTGAATGGTACAAGCCTAGAAATATTAAATTATTACTATGATACTGTTGTATCAGATTTAATGTCCATCTATGGTCCTGAATCCAGTTTAAATCCATATGTACAAATGACTTTATCTCGTTTTAAAACTGTTATTAATTACAATGTACCTGATGGAAAAAAAATACGTGGTACACTTGTTATTGATACTGTTCGAGTATTATCGTCATCTTTGAATGAAGATTTATATAAAAAAGCATCAATAGTAGCCTGGTGTATTGAATTGATGCAAAGTGCATTCTTAGTTACTGATGATTTCATGGATCATTCGTTAACACGTCGTGGTAAACAATGTTGGTATCTTAAAACGAGAGAAAAAGAGCATTCAATCAATGATTCATTCTATTTATATTCATGTACATTTATATTGTTACTCAAATATTGTCCCGAATCATTACAGATTTATAAATTATTCAATGAGACTTTTCAGCGAACAGTCATTGGTACGCAACTAAGATTTTATTCTCTAAAAGCACCTTCATCTTTTTTTTCATAATATCATTTAGGTCAAAGTTTAGATGTTGAAAGTGAAAGTTATTTTCCTACAATCGATCTTTATACTGAAGATTATTATTTTACTGTTATACAATGGAAAACGGCTTATTATACAATCTATTTGCCTGTTCTATGTGGAATATTATTAACTCCAGCCGAGCATCATATATCAACGAATGTGGAATTAGAAAAAGTTTTATTGGACATTGGCTGTTATTTTCAAGTACAAGATGATTTTCTCGATTGTTATGGTGATATTAACATAACAGGAAAAATTGGTACGGATATTCAAGAGAAAAAGTGTTCATGGTTAATTGTACAAGCAATGAAAAAATGTAACAATAATGATAGACAAGTATTAATAGACAACTATGGACAAGATAATTTGGATAACGTGAATAAAGTCAAAGATATTTATAAAAAATTAGATTTATCAAATGAATATAAACAGTATGCACAAAAAACATATGCGGATATTATGGAACGAATTGATAAAAATTTTCAACAAAGTAAAATTTTAATTGTTTTAAAAAAGATCCTTAACTCAATTCATGAACGATCAAAGTAACTGTGATACTTTTTTTATTTAGTCATGAGATTTTTTTTATCAGTTTTTAAATGAAAACAATAGAAATATTTCCTTGCTAATATTTCCTTGCTAAAAGAAGCTTTTTTAAAGACCTTTATATAATTAAATAATAAGCATTGTACTGTAATACGAGATAACGTCGGATTTTTTACTTACTTTGACTTTTCAATAATTCGCAGTAAGAAATATATATTGTCCGTCAATGAAGAACAAACAAAAACGATGAAAAATTTGTCATCTGTAAGATAAAAACGTATTATTCGTAGTATTCTAAACTAAAACTATCGAAAAATATTATCAATTTTTGTACGATTCGAACACATGAACTTAGCTTTGCAATAAACTGCAATCATGATTATTTTTTGCATGATTAAAAATGTACAGAAACACGATTAAATTTCTGTAACCTATTTAATTAGGTTAGATAGCGGATTGCAAATAGAGCTCTAGTTGGTCTCAAATACATTCATTAGATTTCCATTACCGTTAATTTAATCGCAAACTATAAGTTCAATCATGCAAAAAGTCTTGTGTGTTTCTGTCAATAGTGATTTTATCACTATTAGATTTACTCTATTTTTAATGGTACAAAAATGTTTGCATGCAAAAACGTCAAATAGAAATATAGTGTATGATATAGGTAGATGAGAACGAGAAAAATAGAAGTAGAGACAGTCGAGATTTGATGAAAAATCGAATTTACATCTTTTGTTATTGCTTATTTATTGACGAACTTAAGTGCTCGAGTAATGGATCGTTAAGCGCTCGTTAGCTGTGTTTTATTTATCAAATGATGAATACCCACTCAATATTCAATGCAGATGAGCATGAATTTGAAATCATTGAAAAGAAAAACATTACAACTTTCTGAGTATCGATGAATGTCAGTATTATCTTTTACTAGCATCTGAAGAATTTGCCAGCTTTTTGTCGACCAAAAAAGTACACTCTATCTGTGATTTTAATACTAGCACTTATTTGTAGAGGAGACAATTTTTGCGCCTCACACACTTCTATCGCTAATGTAGAAATTTTTTTTATAAAATAGAGTGTAACAACTTTTTTTTCGTACATTTAGAGGGTTTTCACTGCACAAGTTTGACTGCGATAGAAGGAATAAGTTTCACCTTTTTATGTACTCGACCTAATTGATTATTCGATAATGCTTCTATATTAGATCTTTATCACACATACCTTGATGCTCAGAGGCTTTTCATCTTTCGTCCCATCGGTACATCCACTCCGCGAACTCTAATAACAAGTAATTGAAGGTTTCTGAGAGATCGAAGATAACGTTCCGAGCTCTTCTCAACCTTATTTCGAGGTTTGGAACTCTCATTTTCTGAGAAGCTCGGCGATGCCTTTAATGGCTACAATAGCTTTCCGTGTAACGAGTGACTTTTGAAAACGAGTCACTTTTTCTGTGTTTTTCCAGACACTGGAATAAAGTTTAAGAGTTCACTAGACGAACAATTTTCGGTTGTAAAAAACACTTTGATATTCAATTCACATGTTGTTCCACTTATTTAAAAAACAGTGTTGAATAAAAACGGTAAAAAGCATTCCCTAATTGATTCTTCAGTAATGGTTCTATATTAGATCTTCGTCACAGATACTTTGTTGAATCAAAAAATAAAGCTTTATCTGAACAGCATTTATTGACTAGGTTTTTCTGCTGATTTTCCTTGATTTTAGCCCACTGCTTTTTCGACTTAATTTTAATCCGATTTTGTAGAGAAAATGATTTTACATATTTTGAAGTGCATATGTACCATTATAACCTTATGGAGACTTTTTAAATTAACTTTTCTGAGAAGGTACATAACGCATATCGGTGCTTAACAAAAACGATTCTGTTCAAAATTTGTTCAAATGGTTTCCTCTACAAAATCTGATCAGAATTAAGTCGAAGTGGGCCAAAATCAAGGAAAATCGGGGCCCCTCCTTTTGACGTTCCTCCCCCTCCCTGAAAAGCCTAGAGTATCCATCCTCTGCACTGATCTTTTTTAGTTTTGAAATCATACAAACCAGCACAGTGCTAGTAGCGCGCTGAAGTTATATTACGTTTCTTACCTGTTTTATACTCTCGATTTATTTTTTAAATAATGAAACAATGAGAAGTCTCTATATTTCACCCATTAAAGCAATATTTCTCACGGACATCAAACGTACGCTGTGTATAAAACAGTAGAAAACGAAACGAATAAAGAAGCAAAATTTTCAATTACAAGCAGAAAAAAAGCAAACAGGATAATTAAAATGAGCCAAATGTAAATATTTTATGAGATACAAGGAACAATAACAAAAAAAAAGGGTTAAAATGATTTAATGAGATTATGTTAAAAAAGTGCACACATACACACATATACGTAAAAAAATGACTACATTCTTTGATATACAAAACATGCTCTCAATGTGAAGCAAATCGATTTCTAAAAAGCTAACACAAAAACGACTTTCAATAAATTGAAGTATATGACGCTAATACTAATTTAAATAAGTATTGTTGTGAAGAACTATATTTAGCATTAGGGCGCACGTTTCGGTCGAATCAGGCACTAACTTAAAAATGAATTTAAACTATTACTGGATACTGCTTATCTTCCTTGTGCATTAGACGTCTTCAGATTTGGATCCCACTAAAAAATTAAATATGAAATTCACAGAAACAATAACGATCTATTTAACACCTACTTGCTAACAAAAATGCTAGTACAGTTGATCCCAGTACCAGTATAAGTGCTATAATTTCAAACCCTGCTGACCATCCAATGACAGTATGATATGTATCATTGATTGTAGTAAGTAATTCATCAATAGTAGCACGAGCTTTTTCACGATCAAATAATTCAGCTATAAAACACACAGAAGTAAAACAAGTTGACTCTATATACATTCATGCTTACGATGCCGACGTATATAATTTTTTAGTCCATGTAAATTAAATCCCAAACGATTCTGATTCGTTGAATCATCAAGATTTTTTAAAGTATTCAATGGAAATTGAAATTCTTCATATGAATCACGTCGTAGATCTATAATGATAAAAAAGTTTTTGTTTTTGAATAAAAACGAAACTTCGTACATACACGAGCCAAATAAAATTAATGTTGTTAATATGAACAAAAATGCCAGGAAAATGAAAATAAATGGAGCAAATCCTAATAAAAATGCTGCCGATCCTAAAATAGAAAAAGAAAGAAATATTTACACCTCTGAAAATTGAGTATATCGTACGTTGTCTTTCACAACTATATATCGACACTACCCCATCCCAGAGTTTTTTAGACCGATAGAAAACCGACTGGTCTTCAGAAATTTCCTAGATCGCTGAAAAACTAGCATGGTGAAAATCTGCAAAAACAACAGTCGGTTGAGAACTTTTATCAATAAAACTAAATATCTTTAAAGAAAAAGTGGTCTTCACGAGCTTTTTCTTACTTCTCTTAGTTGTTTTATCAAGTTTCTCTTGAATGAAGACGAGAAAAATGCTAAAAGTTCTAAAAACGGCAAAAAACCGTTCGACACTGGCCGGTGTGAAAATTTTTCAAGACTGGCCGGTCTGAACTTTTACACCGAAACTGGCCGGCACGCGACCGACCGATTTGCCAGCCCGATTCCAACTCTGTCCCATCCTCCTTCATTCAAATTCATATTACTTTTTTTGCAACTCTATAGTAAAGAGAGCAGTATTTATAATTCAATTTTGCTGATGAGATTTCTGCTTATAAAGCATAAGGTGTACACGATATAGCCTGAAAAAATCGTGAAATTCGAAAAAAAAATTAAATACGAACCATTTTGTGCTGTAGCAATCAATTTCAAATATAATAATAACAGTCCAAGAACGAGTGAAATTGCTGCCAGAATCGTTAACCATTGAAGACCTTTAGTTGAAGGCAGGTATCTACATCTGCAATCTGCGGGTATTGAATTAGCTGAATATAGACCGCATTCACGTCGTCGATAAAAACATTCAGCATTATGTTCAGAATTATATCTTAAATAACGATTTGGCATACAAACATATGTTTCACGTGCATTAATCCCCACTGCTTGTTTGGAAAACGTTACATTTTGCATTTCACAACGTTGCCATAGACCATATGAAATCGGCGCCAATGGTGGATCTTTGTCACGTTTTGTTATTTTCCACTTTGTTGTAAAAATAGCTAATAAATGAAGAATGAGGCCACCAAGACCCAAAAACAATGCTAACGTAATGAGTATAACACCTTTGACACGCATGATATATAGATCTAGAAGATATATCACGAGCACTTGAACTGAAGACGCTTGTTGGAGATTAAAACTATTGAAAAAGTATTCTGTCAGATAGACTTTCAACAGAATGAAAATCCGTTGTTTTTGTTTTGTTTCAAAGAAACTATACATTTTCTTGTAAACAAAAAGAAAAATGCTGCAGACTTATAAGGTGTCGAAAATTCAAAAATTCAGCAGGTTTTATTTTTGCATTTTTTGTACATGGTTGGGTAGAGCGCGTCGAGCTAATTCTGAACAAAAAATAGAAACTGAGTATGAATATGATGTTTGATCGAGGTTGAAGTCAAAGGTCTATCTCGTATGGTGCTGAATGTGAAAAAAGTGCTTAGAAAGTAGTTAGAAGAACGAAAAAGAAAAGAATGTGAACTTTTTTGAAACCGAAGCGTTTTTCGAAAATTTAGACATTTCATGTATTTTCAACTTTCGATATGAAAATAATTTTTTCAAACATTAGAACACATATTTTCTGAATTAACTCGAAGCACTCTATCCAATTATGTATAAAAAATGCAAAAATAAAAACCTGCTGAATTTTTGAATTTCCGACAGCTTATTTCTGCTAGAAAAAACATTATAAGTAGATTAAGACTTTTTTTATTTTACACAAATGAAAAATGATATTTATTTTTATGACTCTAGGTCACTGACTGACTCTTTTTATTCTATGTAAGACGAGAGTTTACTTATGCTGTGCTACTACTAAAATTCGTCAACACTGCTTGTTTTTATCCTGCCGTTTGTTAGTTAAACAAGACTAATCATTAATAAAAAACTAATTCTTATACAGACTATGCCTGAATTCTTCTATAGAAGTGTATGACAGAGCAGAACGGTACGAGGTTAAAATGATAGGTCTAGAGCGCACAAATCAGTCGTCCGCTCTTTGCACATCTGTAGTTGAATGTTATGTTCTAAAAGAATAAGATAAAGAAAAAGGGCAGTTCAAGGCCAGTTAAATTTCTTTCTTTCTTCAAAAATTACTTTTCTGGAAAAGTACAGTTAAATGTTAAAAAATTTTAAGAATTATGGTTAATAGTGTAAACGTAATGCTGATAGATGAACGGGACTGTTTCTGATACTAATGACACTTATTGATCATTTTTGTTTTATATTTCTATTAAAGTAAAATAGACTTGACTATTCTTGTCATGTTCTTCCATAGAGAAGATGAATATACAAAATCTTCCACAGTAAAAGGTCAATTTTAAAAGTTGATGTATAATCCATTCCGTCAATGAATTTTTTCGTGTGTATCTATCAGACTTTAACGAACAAGTCTCAATGGAAAATCAAGAGATGAACAAGGAAACATTACAGCACATACATCTTAAGTTTCTGAACAAGATGAGAAAATTTTTATTATTAAGAGAATTTATTCCATAAACATCTCTAATGAAGCTTTTTCGATTTATGCATGTCGTGTGCAGATTGAAGATTTATCCCAAAATACATAAGATTTTTACTTGAGAAAGTCAAGAATGTCATACGCATGAAAAAACTCCATAAGGGGAGAACTGACTTATTTTTAAATAAAATTTTTCTTTCTGTACACATACATTTATTAGAAGATCGCATCGACTTTCACTTCTAATCTGACATCTACTCTCTATTTAGTATTAGAGTATATAATGTTAAGGATTACAAAAACCACAAAATTGGAAAGAGGAAAGAAAAATGCATGCACAAAGTTTTAAAACTCAAACATTTTATCTATTGTAAAAGCTACAGTATATAGGAAAACTTCTTAAAAGCTATAAACTGTTTTACATGAAAAAAATTCTTTCTAGCACTTAATAAAAACTCACTGCACGTCGTTTATTTTCTGCACTTTCTTTTTCTATGCAAAATAATTTCTCATAAAATTGCATTCCCTATGGTTCATGCTGTTACCAAATACAAAAAATTCAATTGTAGTCAAACAAAAAGTTATTCAAGTAGAATGTCCATATAGTTTGATGAAGGAATTACGCGAAACATAATGTGATTTCTATGTGAAAATGTGAAGAAAACTTTAGAACAAGAGGCAAATAGCCCTTTCATGATAAGAAACCTTTGGTAAACCATCGGTTAATATACTGAACGACCCTTTTGCTGTCTGTTTTAGAATGTATGTATACTTTAGGTGTTAAGATACTTACGCTTGGTATCTAAACGACTGGATGTCGTATTTTTGAAAAAAATTACTAATTTCGGATGTCGAATTGTTATACTTTATCAATTTATAGTTACGTATTCTAACTTTCAGATTTTCATGTCTTACGTACAAGTAACACAATGAGTCTTCCTTTTCCAGTTTCAAGGGATATTTTATAATTACCTCAAAAATAAAATGGGTTTTGAACTTCGATCGAACGAACTAATGTCACACACTGAAAATAGCAAAACTTAGTTAACTTAAATTGAATAAAATACTTAATCGTTCTTAAATCTCGTGCTCAAAACGATCTTTCTCATTTTGTTTAAAAATGATATTCAATTGTGGCCAGTTGTTCAGCTCAGACTAAAAGTCGGACTCAACTTATTTTGTTTTCTACGACATTGTGCTTTAATGGGATGGTCGAAAATAGAGCCCTGCAGATTAAACCTAACCTAACCTATAGGTTACATTAGGTTTAGGTTACGATTTCTACAAGTTAGGTTAGGTTTAGATTATGAAACTTTTTATAGGTTAGGGTGAAGTTCAGAAGTGGAAGTTCAGACTGAGGTTCTTTAGTTTAAACTAAACTATTTTTAAACTGAAAAATAGCACAATCAAAAAAGGAAGTACAGAGAAAAAAGTTCCGTTTGCTAAAAATAGATGGCTAATACACAACAATAACAGAACCTTCGTAGCATCGAGAGCCTAAAGTGAAATTCTGGTCTACTCCTAAGAAGGTCTCCAGAAAGGTCTGTTCAGAAAGGTATTTTCCAAAGATTGCATTAAAGAATAAAAGACTCGACGGATTCATTTCTATATTCATTTAAAATGTGATTTGTTTTGTATAACCTTACATTACAGAAGGTGTTTAAATAAAAAACAATAACGATATGGAACAAATCTGAAGTTTAGGCTTCTGAAACCAGGTTTTGGGAAGAAATTGCAAAAGGTTGTATTAGGTTAACCTAGGTTAGGTTAGGTTTAGGCTGTGAAAAATTTTTATAGGTTTGGTTATAGGTTATCAAAAAGTCGTAAACTGCAGGGCTCTAGCTGGAAATCAAGAGTAATCATAGATACGATGTATGCTCGTTTCTATTAAATAGAAGACAGTAATATCTAGTATACTGAAGAACAAAGTGGCGAAATAAGAGGCTTTAAAAATGCAAGCTGTTGAAAAGTATAGTAATAAGTAGTATACTGTTGTTTTTCAAATAAAGCTTCGATAACAGAATATGAAAAACATGTCTTTCCCTAGATCTGACCATTACAGGCAGAATTCTGTGTTCATAAAATGATATGTGGTCGCGATTAAAATCAGAACCCTCTCGTAAAAATGAGTAATCCCATAGGATTTTCATTTCTACGGGACCATCTAAGAACTCCGAAGAGATACTATATTTTAATAAAACAGACGAAAAATTTGGTTCACACTCATACGTGAAGTCGTCAACCTTTTTTTCTTTCGCTGAGACATAAGGTATGTTAGAATCACTAACTTTTTGGAACGTTTTCAGTTATTATTACTTCAGTGCTTTGTTTCTAAAACGGTCACAGGCTGAGCTAATCTTATTGAGAAAATGCACGATTTCTAAATTTAAGGGGAGGGGGAACAAAAAAGTGATGCCATTGGTAAGAACCAAACATTCTCCCTTTCTGGTGTGCATGAACGCAGAACAGATGGCATTAGTTTTCTCAGATTCCTGTAGTAATTAGTGCTATTCGAGTGCTTCACAATATTCTCAGCTAGGACTAAGTAAACTTGATTGTCAATCTCACCCATAAACCTTGTATTGCTGAATTTCACAGTTCGTTGCACTGTACGCTCTGCATTCATTTATACTGATTGTGTATGAGGGTAACTATTAGTCAGATATTCATGTTTGTTCTACTTTCGACACCCAATGATGAACTATTAACTCTCTTGTTCTCAGATCAAGAAAGAGAGAAAAAGAAAAAAAGTTCAATGTCTTATAAGAGAAACATGTACAACACTCAACATCAACCAGAGCAGATGGTGGAAGACGTTACAATTTCTGATAAAAGGAAGAGAAAAGACGGAAAAAATGTGTGACGTATGCTTTGAATTGAGTCAGAAATGATATATAGACTACATATATATATATATTTGGATATGAATAAGACGTAAAAGGAGAGAGAAAACTGTTCCGCCTTTATAAACCTGCAGAGAAGCAGACCAGACCACTGTTTGACAGATGAAAAAAGAGAGAAGACGATGAGAGAGTGATGCTTATAACTTGAAAATAAGAATCATTCCTGCAGATTTAAGAAAGAAAAAATGATGGATATCAACAAAGCAAAAAGAAATTAGTTCAATATTGGTGCGTTTAACAAGATATACTGTTCAGAGAATAGGGTAGTTCAATTAAATTTCTTCTTGAAAACTGTGGATAGTTATCGCCTTGAGTGTATTCACAATTCTTATCCTAACGGGATCATAAATATATTGAGATTTTTCTTATCTGTATCTGTCTTCGACTCCATAATACAAATTATGAATCAGATATTGAATACAAGTATAATTAAATTGGTGTCATTATAAGCTGAAGTTATATCCGCTAATTTTAAATATAAATAGTGCTTAATTAAAATTGTGATATAGTACAACATACTAATAGTAATTTTACTTGTGCAATGACTAAATCAGCATGATAGTTGTTTATTTAAGCAAAGTAATAATAAACTAAAGCAATATAAAGCAGGAATGGCACTATGTTGAACATGCTTGATGATTATTATTTTATCCCAAAAAAGGAATTTGACATATAAAAGATAAATTACAATTATTTAAGAAGGATCACAGTGGCAAAATAACAAGAATAAAAGTAATATTGAAATTAGGTAAAAACAAAGAATTTCAAAACAAATGAGAAGTGATTGAACACACGCACTCAAATGATGTAATTCATAACTATCTACATCACAGTACTTTGTTTCTAATTAAACAGAGCAAAAAAATGTCAATATCATTCTGTGATGAGAAAACAAACAATATATGGCAATGTTTAGAAACAAAGATATCAATTTCGTGGGTAATTCTAGAAAAAGACTAGCAAGCTGTGTGCAGAGCTTAATAAAGGGTGAACAACAGCAAACACATAAGCGAATGTCAGGCTGGAATGACATGTATATACGTTATTGACATTCATCAATAAAAAGCTTTTGCCATCTATCAGAAAAAAGCTAATTGGATTCATGATGTTGGTAAAAAAGCAAGAGAAAAAAGAATGTTCAATAAGCTAAGGTATAGGGTAATTTATATTTAGTGCAGCGAATTTTTGTGGTTACTTACATCGGTTTAATCTAAACTCAGTAATGTATGTAGACATGATGAGCCCCTCTTGCTCAAAATGTGTCTTCAATCTCCTGCTCTTTTTCTCAATATAGGGGTTCATTTTGGATGAAGCAACGTTATGCTCACACAACGTATATGTATGTATTTTTACTTCTCTATTGAGGCTATTCTTCTGTTTTTGCTAGTGCCAGAAATATTGCTAACATGAATACGAGAAATGTTAAGACAAATGCAACGATTTCAAAACTCGTTGACCATCCAATATGTGCATCATAATTATTTTGATGATATGCTTTGAATTCCGTTTGTGCCTGTTTATATAATGCATTTTGCTCTAGGAAAAAGAGAAATGATTGATTATTATTAATCTATAGTTATATCTGTACATACTATTATTTAATTTAAAATATTGTGTTAATCTATAATAATTCACCGACTCTTCTGCTGGAATAGATGATAGTATAACATCATAATCTTCATATTCATCACGTCTTAAATAAGCACCAACTAATATTAATGTTGTTAACATAAATAATAATGCGATAAAAATTAATGATACGGGAACAAAACCTAATAGAAATGCTGCACTAGCTAAACGAAAAAACATAAAAAAACTTTACCAGTAAAGTTTCTAAACAGTCTGAGAAAGAGAGACAGAGAAAAAATGATTAAAACTCGCTAACAACTCTTGTAACTGTTAAGATATACCATTTTGCGGGGCTGCAATTAATTTTAAATATAGCACTAATATTCCAAGAATCAGGTATAATGCAGCCAATATGCAACACCATTGTAAACCTTTTGTCGATGGTATGTAATCGCATGTACAAGGATGAACAACTTTTGTGAGTGATGAACATAGATGACGATATATAAAGCCTAAAATAGAAAATAACACTAAGTGACGACGAATAATGTGAAACTTTATAGCACTCACATATTGTATTATCTATATCTTCTGATTTGTAACGTAAATATTTATTTGGACGACAGATAAAATTTCTGATTGTTGGCGTTCCCGCCTCAAGAAGAACTGTATTAGCAAGTGTCATACTCGTACTAGCAGATTTTATTACTGGTGTAGCAAATGATATATCCATATATTGGCAACGTTCCCACAATCCTAGTATAATATGATTATTTTTTCAATCAATATAGTAGATATTGATATATACCTACCGTAATAATGTGGATTATTATTTGAAATATTTTGGACACCTTTAGGTATTGCAACTTTCCAGCGTTTAGTGAACCTAGAAATTAACATAATTTTTTACACTTCCTTGACTCTGATATGATAAACAACCAATGCACTCTACTTACATGGCTAAAAAATGAAATATAAGTGCGGCAATGCCCAATAATAATGCCAATGTAATTATGATAACACCTTTAATACGCATTATGCCACTTTTCTGTGAATAGAAAGAAGTGATACCTGAATATTTTTTTTCACATAGAATTTAGCTGTTTTGTTTTTCAGTCAATGAAATAAATTAAAAAATCTCGTTCTAAGTCTAAAAGGTAGACAGTTCTACAAAACTTTCTATACACATATAAAAATATTTCTTAAACTCTCTTAACCTTTGTTATGATATTCATAACAAACTCGGCAGTAATAATTCTTTTATTGAATTATAAATTAGTTATTTATGGCACACGACTCGGTATATATTTTATTTAGTTTCTCATGTACGTGACTTTTTAACATAAAATTTGCACGAAAATGGAAATTTTTGCAACTAAACATTTTGCCGGTATATAAAATGCTCTAAGATTCCCCTATGTGTTCAAAATCATCATCGAGATAATTTATAGAAAGAAAAAAAGCTAAAACGATTTAACGAAAAAAAGATAGCTATTACAAATTTTTAATTGTCATTTTGCTCGGTAAAAATCTTTTTATTGTGATAAACAATCGATAAATGTACTGGAATATGCTGACTGTACGTACGATATCAACCATAAAGAATATCAGTGCAGAGGAAAATCTAAGCTTTTCAGGTGGCGGTGGCGTCAAAATTTGATGAAAGTAGAAAAACCTAGTCAATAAATGTGGTGTGAGTGTACAATGTATTGCATTTCATGCAGACAAAATCCTCACTCGTTTTGTCTATAAAGTAGTCTTGGAACTGTTCGTGCTGCTATGCTGGAAAGAATCAGATTCAGTAATGATCAATCCATTATTTGTATTTGTCATGTTCCAGAGAAAACTTTATATTTTGATTCAACAAAGTATCTGTGACGAAGATCTGATATAGAACCATTACTGAAGAATCAATTAGGGAATGCTTTTTACCCGTTTTTATTCAACACTGTTTTTAAATAAGTGAAACAACATGTGAATTGAATATCAAAGTGTTTTTTACAACCGAAAATTGTTTGTCTAGTGAACTCTTAAACTTTATTCCAGTGTCTGGAAAACCACAGAAAAAAGTGACTCGTTTTCAAAAGTCACTCGTTACACGAAAAGATATTGTAGCCATTATTTCGACCCCTCGATAGTCCAGTTGAGTTTTTACTACTCTCCTATTTGAAAGCATGCGTCTAGTGGAATATCACTGAGTAATAATAGTACGGAATTTATTTTATTTCTCTAGTTAATTTGTGGTTAAGATATACAGCAGAAAAAATGAGTTCTACAATTTATTTTAAATTGAGTCACTTGAGAATCATTCTGAGATTTCATTTTTCCCTCGATATGAATCACCTTTATCTTCTTATCACAGACAAAATGAGAAAATGTCAAGATTATTATCTAGTCTATACATCTAGAATTCCCGCTGGTTCAGAAGAAAAAAAGGGCAATAAACACGAATTTAATGCGATTACATTTTCTGTTCAAACACATGTAACGAGTAAAAACAAATGCGCACATGTGCTCCATGCTTTCAATCGGCTCTCTATAGGTGTCTTTTATTGTGCATAAATAATTGAAAATCAAGGACGATACATTGAGTAATGATTAAAAAGAAATAATGATGTAGAAGACTGGCACAATTTGAAAAAATCTGGTTCGAACATTTACTTTTTTTTCAGTTTTATCAGGAATTTACCTCGATTTTCGAATCTGTAATTTGACCTGCATTATATGTACATGTCTACGGATCAGAGATCCGAGTTATTTTTCTCGAGCACTTCAGTATTTTAGATTTTTCGAAATGAGGAACAGAAAGCAGAGACCAGTTTTATGTCTGCTAGACGCAGTCTTTTTCGCACTACAAAACTGTATAAAATAGTACGTCTTTCTAAGGTTTGTTTGATCGAGAGAAATTTACTTCGAAGGTGAAAAAATTTCTAGTACTAACCTCGCTTTTACTCGCATTTTACTCAGTTCAGATACGAAATTTTGTTCATCGATGTCGGAGAAGACAAACCTCATGAGGACATCAGCAATTTATCAAAAGAAAAACAGATATCAATTTCATTTTGTTGCTGTTTTATTCTTACTGTCGTATGTGCTATATATTTGAGTATCGAGATACATCAATTCCGAACTATCAGGGCGCCATCTCGATTAAGAACAATTTTAAATTGTATATTCTCGAATGAGAACAAGTTTCTTAATAATTTCTCAAGTGAGAACATTTTTAAACCGTGCACTCCTGAAGGAACAATTGTTTACACTAATCTCAAAGGAGAATATTTTCGAACTGTGAGCTCTCGAAGGAAAACAATCTCAAAAATGTTGATCATTAAGAAAAGAAAAGATTAATGCAGGTATAATAAAAAGTAATTCAGGTGTTGGTGAAATATCATCTTCGACTTTTCGCTTCAAATAAAACATTAGTGGGTGTTCAACCTTGCATAGATGTAACCGGTCAAGATTTTCTCGACCGGGCCGGTAACTGGTCGAAAACTTTCTGACCTGGCCGGGTCGGCCGATTGGTCGGTCATATATTTTTCTAGTGTGTAAGTGTAAAAGCCTAACAACAGAGGAGTGCTAAGGCTTCTGTAAAAACGTCCATAGCTCCCAAACCATGGATTTCCAAGATGTTCCTTAGATCCAGTTTTTTAGAGGACAGTTCGGACTGTATATGTATGAAAACAAATCCATAGATTTCTATGTCAGCTTTCAGAGAACCAAAATGGTTTTCCACAGATCTCCCGAAAAACCGATCTTTGTAATTTTTTCAAACTCATTTTTGCTTATGAAAATATAGCCTCAGATCTTGGCTAGCGAATGGTAAAAACCGCAAGTCTCTATTTTTTATTCCTCTTGAGTTATTCCAAAAATAATCACCGACCTTGTATTTTAGCGCCGATAATAATGCAACAAACGTAAAAAAGAAAGAAAAACGAACGGAATATTCACATAGTAGAGATTACCAGTCCTGCTCTCGAAGACTGTTGACAGAAAAGAAAAAACCAAACTAACTTTCTTAATCTGAAATATGAAAAACTTTATTTTACTTAGCTCAGCAAATTCGTTTTCGACAAAGTACTGATTTTTCAGACAAAAAGATATTTTTTCTCGACCGACCGGTAAAATTAATTTTCTTTCGGTCGACCCGGCCGGTTGTCAATACCGTTTACATCTCTGAAACCTTGGCTTCTTCATGTGCATGATTTCCATGTTCCACTAAAGCTGCTAACATCATTGGGTTGACTACTATTGATACACAACAATTACGACTAAATCAATACAGTTGATATTTAGTTACATCAACAGCAGCAATACGAAATCAACAATTTACTCAGTACAACGCTACGTTCCAGTATCATCAACTCTGCGCGTACGAAGGTGATAACGATACATTTTATACAATAACGATCTATGAACATCTTTACTAATAGCTTCAGTAGTAAATGGTAATGACATTTTTTGTTTCTCAATAACGGTAATGCTTTACAACGGGCATCTCTTTTATAGAGTTCGCAATGTTAAGTGTCTTAGTATTCTTTATTCTTTCAACTGTCGTATGGTGGTCTGAACAGTCTCTTCAGCTTCTAAATCGTACTTTCAGCTAAGAATTAACAGCGCCACCACACCTGCATTATTTTTTTCTAATTCTGCGCTTTAAGAAGCTTCTTAATTAGCCTATACTTTTTTTTAAACTGAGAACAAGCAGATTTTTTAAACTACACTGCCCATTGAATCAGTTATTTTTAATTAGATAACATAGTTTTTATTCATACGGACTAGGACTACAGATCATTAATTCTGAAATGCATAAAATATTCTGTCAAGAAGATAAATAATTTTACTAGGGCGATCTCCACAAATGATTCGACATCTTCAGTACATTTTCCTATACTTCCGATAGAAGAAATTCAAATTCAATCTTGTCTTACCGATAAGTTTTTTGTGAGGTGGCTTTATAGAAATGTCCTTGGTGTATGTTACACTAGTAAATAGACACAAAACACATACTACTACTAAGTAATCAAAACACTTATGATAACATATCTTTGAACTTTTTATTTTATTGTTACGATGTTCAGTAGACCTTGACGCATGGTTATTTTAACTTTTACTCTTTCGATGTACTCGGTCATAGTTTACTGCTACTGCAATAACTAAATTAAGGACAAAGAAGAAGAAGAAAAAGTCAAGCGAAATGTACACTTTCCTTGCAGAATGCAGATTTAAACATCTCGACTTACAATGTCGCGTTTTCTTCTTATTAGAGCGCAGATACTTGCATTTCAAGAACATTTTAAGTTCTATCAAGTACTGTTTGTAAACAGTATCAAATTTGGCTCGTTACTGAACAAGGTTTAGTGAGACATTTTGTACTTAATCTTAAAGCAAGATTATATCTTGGCCCTCTACTTTCACTATTTAGTATACAATAAGTTCTCTTTTTTTCGATGATACACATTTATCATATTATAATAATTCAAGTTTAAGAAACGAGAAGAAAAGCGAATTATTAATTTAATTATCTAGCATTAGTTATTTTTTTTGTTTAATTCGATAACTTACTTGTGAATTGAATATTTTCTCGATGTTTGGTGATATTTCTGTTTTTCTTCCTTTTTCTTCTTTCCATCAATTTTCCTTCTCTAATAATCATTTATGATTGAAAATCAGTTTCTTCTCTAACAGTTCTTCTAAAAAATCTATTTTTACCATAAATAATCTGAATGAAATTAACCTCCATGTAAATACAAATCGTCGCATAACAAACAAACAATATTTAGATTGTATTCCATTTATTTCTTCTTCTTCTTTCTCGTGACCGCGCTACTCTAGGACACCATATAAATACAACAAAAATGTAACGACCGTAATCATGGACAAGATATATCATTTTTTATACATAATATATATTTTTTTGCCATTCTCTTTTTTTTATTATATTATTCACAGGAATATGTAATGACAGAGAACATGAAAAAGTAGAGAGATGAAAATGTGGAAATCCTGTAGTTTTTCTAAAAAAAAAAGCATAACAGATAAAAAAAGCCTATCTATTAATACATTTTTCCTGATCGGCATATAAGCTATAAATAAAACTATATGCGTATTTTTTTACTTATTGTTATTAGAAATGTGGAATATATCCTAAGAACAAGGAAGGGAAAAATGTATAAAATTAGTATACCAAATATGCTTTGATATTATTGCGTGACTATAGACTATACATAGATATAAGAAATTATTTTTTCTCATCGATTGTGTTTCTGTAATGGTAACAAGGTAAATTCTCACATTGACATATCATATTATTCATTAGGTTAGTCTACTGTGAGAACTGAAGTTGATTCAAGATGTTTTTAGTAATACAATTTACATACAAAAACTTTTATCAATATAAGAGACTATGGTGATAACAAGAATGCCAAAATATCTATTATTCTATAATTTTTCTATATTTATATCTTTCACTAATTAGACATAATCACAAAATATTGAAACATCTCGATTGAATATACAAAAAGGATCCTCTCTAAGAAATATTTTTTCTATACTATGCGGTCGATTTAAACCAAACTTTCAAGAATTTTAAACTTTATCAT